AGAGGGCCAGCCTCCACCTCCACCTACCACCTACCACTCAAGAGCAAAATCAGCACCAGTAGCTGTAGATAACATGAAATACACATGTTATGTCCAAACACATTATCTCTTACGAGCTTTGATGTTTTTCCCTGCTATAATGAGTTGTGGTTACATAAAAGTTAAAAGGTGAAGTTGTTCCCGTGCTTAACTAATTAAGCACTATGCCATGAAGGTGCATAGGGGAGTGGAGTTGGAAGTCCCTGGTCAGTGTGTTAAAGGTGGGACATACAGTGACCACTGGGCTCTAAATTGTTAACCCTTGACTTATTATACGGGAAGAGCCTCCAGTTACTCATTTTATATAAAATGACGCACGTCCAGAATTACAGAATAGGCCCTGTAGGCTCTAATATTCCTCTTTGTCACATTAATGCAGCTCTTCCTTTCTTACGTATAATTTGAACACTGATATCAGCTTCTTGCTTTAAATTGTTTCTTTGGAACGCGGCTCTTAACTGCACATTGCATACTTTTACAGTCTTGTTAAATATTCAAAGACCATGGAATCCGTTAATTTATTCCATCTCTTCAGAAACACCTCCCTATGATTCACGTCTTAATGCATACGTGTGACGCGGTATGTACTTGGAAACACGTACACACAACGTGTTATGGTGAAACCTATGTCGGCTCACTTACAGAAAATATTGTTAAAATGCGAAATTTCCGTACCTGTGGTGACTGAATATTTATCTACTCTACTGTATTTTTCTTGACATTAGGTGAAGCCTTCTGAAACTCCACATTTTCTTCAGAACATGTGACCAATGGCCACGTCATATATTTAGTATCAGTCCATGAAGCTTAATTGAATAGGTCTATGAAAGAAATAAGGCAAGAAAGCACCATCTAGCAGTGTCCTTTGTCTAGACAACCTCAAGGAAGGTTTTTTGTTGGTAGCGACATCTCCCATGTGGTGATATTGGTTGCTGTCACATGTTGTAAGTAGATTCTAGAAATTTATGATAACATAACAATCTAAATCACTATCTGATGATGACGCACTTTCATAGAAGCTTCTGGCAATGTATAAATGTCATACATATATGTATTCATGCATACGCACGTACGTACATACATACATACACAAATACATAGATATGAAGATGGGTGGATATGTTTTTGTTTGTAGTGTGGCAAAAGGAACACATTTTCTGCACAGCCTATATAGAAATATTATGTACAAAAACCATAATATGAAATGCGAGATATTTTTATTTGAACAGGCTTATAAAAGGAATTTTTTTCTATGCATCCAACATAGAAATATTATATGTAAAAAACCGCATTTTGGAATGCAAGTTAGACAAGACACAAGATGTAGAACCGCATTTTGGAATGCAAGTTAGACAAGACACAAGATGTAGAACCACATTTTGGAATGCAAGTTAGACAAGACACAAGATGTAGAGGTGGTCAAGTTCTAGATGAATGGCAATGTGTAAATTAATACGGACTTGCCGGTTTCTTAAAAATGCAGCCTACTGTGACAGGTAGCCGACATATGGAGATGATCAGCTTCACAGGTTTCGCTGTTTTATCCTTAAATTAATGTTTCATATTAAGCAGTGGTAATGTACTTACGAATAAAAGTATTGCAAGCGCTCCTGATTCAGTGTGTAAGAATTTTACACTTTTGGGAAAACTTCAGAAGAATCTATAAAAAGTAACCTACAAAATTTCAAACGTTAAGCTATGTATGTGCGCCCGAAAGATTTTACTCTGTTTTCTCTCTCTCATTTATTGACAATCAGACTGTACAATCTCTAAGTCAATGTGCTGCCTGGTGGACAGTTTAATAACTATTTATTGTACACTCTTGTGGGTGTGGAATAAACATCCAGTGATGTTTTCCTCAGTTCGTTAGATCTGATGGCCAACTTCTTTTGAGTCTTCGATTTTCATGAGGATGTAGTAGTGGTTGAAGAAGTGGATTGGAGCGATTTTCTAGTTTGCTGAAGTACTTGGTGCTTGTTTCTCGGATGACTTCCGTTACATAAGGAGTTTTTAGATCTGTATGTAGGGTGTGGTTGGATACATACCATGGTGCGTTCGTGATGGATCGTAGTATTTTGGACTGGGCACGCTGTATAATGGAGATGCTGGATTTGCTGGTGCAGCCCCAGAGTTCTATGCCGTATGTCCATATAGGCTTGATGACTGTTTTGTAGATTAGTAACTTGTTTTCGATGGAGAGGTGGGATTTTCTTCCTATCAGCCAGTTGAGTTCTTTGGTTTCTTTGGTCCATCTGTTTTCTTTTCTTGATTATGTGTTGTCTCCAGTTTAGTTTGTTGTCAAAGGTTAATCCTGTATTTGACCTGTTCTTTTGGTTGTATGTTGATGTGATTTATTTGCACTGGGGGGCACGTGCTTTTTCTGAGGGTGAAAGTTGTTTGTATGGACTCTGATTCGTTTACCTTGATTTTCCATTTGTTTAGCCATGCTTCTATGAGGATTAGATGATCCTGTAGATGAGAGGAGGCTGTGGTTGGATTGCCGTTGGTAGCGAAGATAGCAGTGATCTGCAAAAGTTCCTATTGTCGTTTTTGTTGTGGGTAGAACATGTGTGTAGAGAGTTTATAATAGTGGGCTTTGTAAGCTTCCTTAGGGCACCCCTGAGTGGACTGGTAGGCGGTTAGATATTTTCTCATTTATTTTTACTTCGAAAAATTTTTCGCTTAAATATGACTTGAGTAGGTTCTAATAATTTTACTCTCTTTTGTGTTTGGTTATCTCACTGGGGTCGAGCATTCATACGAAGCCTACTCAGACTTTTTTTCGAACCTGGTATCTGTCTTAAGATGATGATAAACTGTAAAAGTGGTAGTGAAAATATAAGAGTAAAATTAATTTTAAAATATCATAATCGTGTCTATTATCCTCAAATCTTGTAAATACCAGTACATGCTTCGTGCCTTAACAAACAAACAATTCATATTTCTAAATTACCGTTTTTAACGTCCAGTCCACAACAATAATATTGTACAAACATAAATGACACAAATGTACCTTAAACTCCTAACCTAAAAATGTATTCTTCATTTGTACGTCTGACTTACTGAAATGATAATGTAGGACTTTGGTTATGTAATATCGCCTCATGTACACAACTATAAATGTGGAAATAATACCAAAGAATTTTGCTTGGTTCTTCGAATATTGAAATTTTTAAGGGCACAATTTCAGTCCGATTACAGTTTCACAGCCTCTGATTTCTTTCGGGCAAATTTTCGTTGTTATTTGCTTGTTCTAGCACATGACAGTAGTTTGGAGAAAGCTATAAAAATGTAGTCAATGAATTAATAAATTTTCCTTTGGTTGCCAGATACTCTGGTAGGCTACTAATGTACCTGAAGAAAGCAGTCTTCTGGGATTTGGCACCGTGTATATGTGGTGTTAACCGACGTTTCGGAGGAACGTATCGCCTCCATCTTCAGGGTAGAAGAAAAATATAAGAAATGTGCAAGCGAAGAGACCGTGAGAACCGGTAGGTTTCTTATATTTTTCTTCTACCCTGAAGATGGAGGCGATACGTTCCTCCGAAACGTCGGTTAACACCACATATACACGGTGCCAAATCCCAGAAGACTGCTTTCTTCAGGTACATTAGTAGCCTACCAGAGTATCTGGCAACCNACCTGTTCAGAATTTTTTTAGTTCACTAAGACTGTGAAACGCAAGAATGCATTTATTTCAAGTGTCATGTATTGTACTTCAGCATCTACAAAGGCTTATTTTCTGTTATTGCTAGTGGGGTTGGACTAAGTCCCTTGTACTGCGGCCACTTCTGGCCTATTGTACCAGCCCCAGATGATAGGTGAGGGTGATTATGGAGCAATTGGTGGAATGAAGATTGGCAGGGAAAACCGAAGTATTCGGAGAAAACCTGCCCCAGCGCCACTTTGTACACCACAAATCCCACTTGACCAGACCCGGGATCCAACCCGGGCCGCCGCGGTGGGAAGCCAGCGACTAACCGCTTAAGGCTTAAGTATCTGTTGTTCCTTAAGACAGCAGTGTTATAAAGGGATAAGGTGGATGTAGCCTAACCTACCGAAGTTTGATGGAAGACGTCCATATTAACAAGAAGGTTTACGCATTATGGAGACGGATACTCAGTATTACCAAGAAAATATGAGCGTTGATACGATGTTCTAAAGGTACCAACTAACTAATTAACTAACTCCATAGAGCTGTGGTGCACGCGGTAGTATAGTTGGTTGAGGCACTATGCTACAAGTGGGTTCGAGGCCCGATGAGGTGGATTTTTTCAATTTACCTAATCCTTTCAGCTGCACTATGGCCCTGGGGTCGACCCAGCCTCTAACAGAAATGAGTACCAGGAATCTTCCTGGGGGTAAAGGGTGGCCGGCGCGTAAGGCTGACAATCTCACCACCATCTGTGAGCTGATTGTCTAAAAATGTGTGAACCTCGACGTCTCACAACCCCATGGTCCTCCACGGCCCGTTATTATTGATAGCTTTACATTTTAACTCCATGAAGTTGAGTCCTTGAAAAGCCACCAGTCGCTCTGCTACTAAGTAATTTTCCAACACTTTATGAAACCCGAAAGTTCAATCCCGTGTTCATAGGAGCCCACCATTGGCCCCTATCCTGAGCCAAATGAAGCCAGTTCATACCACCCCATACTATGTAAGATCCGTTTTAATATCTCATGCAGGTTGCAAATTCCATACAGATTTATGAAACTAATGTGTCACGTTTACATTTTAATAAGGCATATTAGATACTGCCATATTAATTCTCTTAACATTCCTCTGTGTTAATAAAACAATCGTATAAATGCAAGTAGTTTGTGAATCTTGTACGAATGCCTTTCACATTCTTAGTGTGAAATGCACACAAAACGCCCTTAGACACAAATTTACTGCCCAGTAGTTCTGGAATAGGGCTTATGTCTCTTTGGGTAATAGGACATTTATGTACAATACTCACCCATGAGCAGCATGATGGTGGAAGGCGCCCGTCGGTGTGCCGGGGTGAACGACGCGTCCCGACGTAGTGTCCCAGATGTAACGTCCCTCATGAGTGCGCTGGTCCACCGGAAGGGGCGCATGAAACGCCGCGAAGGCTGACGGGAACTGGAGCGGTAAACCTGCGGAAGCCGGAGAATGAACATGTTGGAATGCCTCCTTTTCGGGCATTATCATTTAGATTCAAAAATGTTCCCGCACTGTGTCCAGAATCATGCATTAAGAAGACTGCCACTGCGTTAAACATCCCAATAATGGTGCACCATTCTACAGTGACAAATGTGGTGGCTTCTGACGACGAATGACATGTGCATAATTCATTCTTAAAAAATGTTAACACTTTATTAGTACAAATGATAAATGTAAGATCTGTTTTACTGAAATGTTACTAAAGTTCCTGACTCATGGGTTGTTGTCTCTGTTTAATTTTAAAACTAAATAAATTCAATATGGAAATTGTTTCCATTTATTTGTAAATTGCATTCACTGGAAAAACACAAAACCACAATCACAGGTAGGTATGTTTATTAAGTTTGAAATCGAACTGCAAGTTTGTGAGTATGCGCGGTAACGAGTTCCCCCGTAATGTCTTCATTATTCAGTAGGCAGGCACGTGTTGGAACCCGCTAGTTATGCAAGACGAGACTCATGCAACCATCTCTTTTCGTTCAAGGTGGGTTACTCCTTGATATGAAGATACCATTGATCTGTGATGTGCCATGATCTTGAAAGTTCACACCCCCTCAAAAGGTTATGCGAGTGGCCCAGCAGACACTACACACAATTACAAAACTGAAAACATTTCACGCGTTCGATCCTTTAGTATGCTTTTATTATCGACGGTTTTGTGTCAACTTGACACTGCATCTCACAGATGTATTCCAGCGCGAAAACACTACACAAATGTGAAAGAAATGATTAATGACAATGGTCGAGAGCGATTGTCAATTGTTTCCAGAGCTTGCACACTCGCAGGAGCCAGCACTGTTAGGCCGGTTGACAGCCCGGCTTTACAACTCAACTAAACTTGAAAACTGGCTCTTACTCGGGATCGGGGCTAGTAATTCCTGACCCCTCTGCCCCTCAGCCCCCAACTGGGGCCAACCCACCCGCCAGCCAGCCATCGCAACCCATCTTACTGCCTTCTCTGTCTTCATCCATCTCACTTCCTCTCATGAACCCGTCCTAATCTATTCGCTTCACATGTACAAGGGCAGGTTCAACCGCAAGACAGAGAGAGAAGAGCCGAAGATGAAGACGGAGAAGAAGTAGAAGAAGAGAAAGAAAGAGAATCACCAAAGCAATTCAACACATAACACACACAGCCGACTAAAATTCCAACACACAATCAAGATCTGCCGGACCTGTGAGCAAGGATCTAGGGTACCACTTCATCCACGCTGTTGCTGGAGTCCCCATGTTTAAACTGTCTTATGTCATAATTAACTTTTTATATCAAAGGAAAAACTGGGGGAAAATATAAGAAATAGCCTCTGGCTACACGTAGAGTTGTTGAACACCGAATTTAGAGCTTCTGTGGTACTTTCGGTAATTGAATCGGGGACTTTTAGTTCTGGATGTACAAACACTGTAAAAAAAAAAATATTGTTGCTGAACTGCTTCGCCTCCGAGTGTTTTACGGTCACGAGCGTGTCCGAAGCAAGTCAGTTGCCTTACTGTATGTGCATCAGTATACCACCATGAGGCGATGTTGCCGGAACATATAGCAACCAAATTGAATAAATGGCCCACGCATTGTACAATTTCTCATACACTTTTCGCTTCTCGCGGCTACATTCTCTACACCGAGCTCGAAGATCCGGGATAGCTCACTTCGTACAACCACTAGGCTACGGGCTGGACGAGCAAGGAGTCAGGTTCGATTCCAGACAGACTCTGGGGCCCACACGGCCTCCCATATAACGGCTACTGGGAGCTATTTCCTTGGGGGTTAAGCGGCAAGAGCGTGAAACTGATGATCCACCTCCATCTAGCGTTCATGCGTCTTTTTGTCGTGGTGCATAACTCTTTAACTACAGGGATAACTTTACAAATAACTCTATGAACTATATATGAATACGTTATAAGTTCTGATGAATACAGATATCTGAGACGCGCAAAAGGAAGAATTCTTGAGCACCTAACTGTGTTCCTACAAATAAATCAAGCTCCATTCTCCCCCCCCCCGATACATGAAACAGCGTTAGCCAAAAAATGTCAGTTCTCTCTCCGCCAGGAAATAAAAAATCAATCATGCCTACTTACTGAATACAACTAATCAGATAATCTTCCCCCTCTTTCAAAGCAATTCCACTCTTTCATTATTGTAATTTATTACATTCTTCGTTATAACAGCCGCAATATTAGGGGACGTAGGTCAAAGAGAGGTTACTACACGCCATAATGACATTCAGTACACCAATTCAAGTAGCAAAGGGTTTGTATTTGACTGAAAAGCATTGCTTTGCGCAGTCTTTTCCGCTCTATCACGCATGGATTCACGGGGGCTGTTCTGAAAACGAGCTGAAATTTCGAATTACGTATGTCTGTCTCTCTGTGCTTGCTTTAATTGCATATAAATGACCGTGGATTCAGTTACTGGAAATAAATGAACAATATTATTCACGAAAAATAAAAGCTTCTAAATACAACAGTTATATGTATGTATTTCACAGAAGTGTTATCTTTAGTGAGAGTAGGAATATTTTGAGGAATAATAAAAAAAACATAGGCCTGTGCATGAACGCACAGAGGAATATGATAATGTTATTTACCTGCTCTTATGTAGCAACACACATAAAACGAAATTAGGGCCTACTAATTGGCTACGCAACAAATAATTTCAAAATCACATTCTTTCGTATCCACTAACTGACACATCCTTCGTATGCTTTTGCTACAGTTGAAAACTTGGTAAGTACTGAGAGAGAAATAACCAGATTAAAACATTATATTTTGATAATAATTTTACATGTCATATAAAACATAAAGTACTCGTATAAAGGATTTACACTATCATAGTGCCTTGTTATATCAACATTTTAAATGAGCCTCTACTCGAAAGAATGCCGTGTAGATATTGTGTAAACCGACGTTTCGGAGGAACGTATCGCCTCCATCTTCAGGGTATAAAAATCTGCGAGCGAGGAACCAGAGTGAGCAGGTGGCTGTAGCAATCTTCAGTTAAGAATTGTATGCTACAAATGATAGAAAACAAATAATACACATCTTTCTATGACTTGCCTCATATTGGTTCCGTAAATTTAGAAAAAAAAAGAACTATAGCTTTCTTTCCCATATTTCAAGTCATTTATACCAGCATTTTATTGTTACCCTGCCAGCCCTCCATCACTTGTCGTGACTACTTTCAACCACTGGGTTCGCATTCTTGCAACAAAGCTGCAACCGATGCATGCAATATTATAAGAATTTTATTAGACACTAAATATTTAATCAGTGCTCTGGATTGTGTATCACGTGACGATGATTGTTACACGTTGCAGCATTTGACATGCGTGATTAACATCGCAGGTGTGATACACGTTACATGAATAATATTTCAAGAACATGTTAATAATTGGATGCCTTCTCTCTGGGCAGCATTACAGATATGATTTTATAGTGAATTTTCTTATTTATTTATGGTTCACTTAACGATTCTCGCGGCATGCGGTAGCGTAGTTGGTTGAGGCACTATGCCACAAGCCGGAAGGTCGCGGGTTCCATTCCCGATGAGGTCACTGAATTTTTCAATTCACCTAATCCTTCCAGCCGCAACATAGCCCTGGGGTTCACACAGCCTCTAACAGAAATGAGTACCAAGAATATTCGTGGGGGTAGAGGGCGGCCGGCGCGTAAGGCTGACAAATTTACCGCCGTCTGTGAGCCGATTGTCTAGAAAATGTGGGAACCTCGACGTCTCACAACCCATAGGCCTTCAAGGCCTGCTAGGGGGACAGCTTTACTTTTACCTGTCAGTAGCTTAGACATAAGAATAGCTCCGAATTATTTTATGATTATCACATAATTATTTGGAGAGAATGTGGAATGTGCCCCACCCGGCATTCAAATGGAGGAACTACAGAAAACCATGGACGACCTAGTCAGGATAGTCCATGTCGTAGGCAAGATCCGATCTCCCGAGTACAAGCCTGAGGCCTTACTGCTTGGTCCGTGGAGCGACAGAAATACGGACTACCAGCAGCAAAGTATAGAAGGTTACGAGTAGGAAGCATAGAAATCAATAGCGGATGCTGAATGCACTGCTCAAGAATTCACAATCAAGGCTTGACTCATTCATAAATACGTGCGTGTTGCACAGTAACAATAACTAATCGTTTTCTTATTCCTCACGCCTTACGTGCGCATGCGTCACATACGCAAAGGCTGCGAGACCAAAGCGGACAACGGCCCGCAGCTTCGATGCCGACACTGAAACACGCTGGCTGCTTGAACAGTTTTCGTACTGAGAGCTCTTAGCTTCGAAATTTTCCTTGCTTTCCTGTGGAGTTTATGACAATTATCTGTATGATATAGCGTGTGTGGCGCGATTATATAGCGCAAATTCTATTGTACAGACTCTGCAAGGAAGTAGTTTAGGTTTGTTTTGAGGAACATGACCCTTCCGCTTGGAATGGCTGACGTAAATACCGAAAATTGTCCCCAGGACTTTAGGATATGGCCCTGATTATAATGGAGCTATGTTTTATAAACACGAATCGGATGAGCTCTCGTACCTGTGCATTCATGTTCCAAACTGTTCGTGAGCCGAAATTGTTCAACGTTTTCTTGTTTGTTGTGCTTTCCCTTTCTAAATGATGAGGCTTCAAATGCCACGTCCATGTGTCTATGTGTTTTAACAGTAGTAGTAGTAGTAGTAGTAGTAGTAGTAGTAGTAGTAGTAGTAGTAGTAGTAGTAGTAGTAG